CTTTTGATGAGGATTCCTCTAGGGTCTCTTGGACCAAACTGTTCAGTAACAGGAGCTGGGATCATCCAGTTCTGGCCTGGGGGCCAAGGACATAAGCAGTCACACAAGCCACTTCCTCCTCTTGCCCCTGCCCCACCTTCTTCCTTTGCTGCACCAGGGGGAGAGACCGCTTGCTGGCCTGGGTCTGGAATGGCCTGGAGCAGGCTTGTCGGACCTCAGGCACTAAGCAAACAACAAAGGGATGGAACAGAAGCAGCATCAAACACCTGATTAAGCCAATTCACTGGCTGTCCAATGAAACCACAACTCCAACCTCCCAACCAAGAGCCAAATCTCAGCCTACGTCTCTCACCCCAACTTCTGCTGGTGCACGAGTGTCCAACCTGCCCCTTACCCAGGTTGTGTCCCCTCACCGTGAAACTCGAGCAGGGCACTCCAGAAGCAGTAACCCTGTCCTGCCCGGTAGTCACTAGGACACTCTGTTCTTCCCTCTCCTTGCTTTTTAAGCGAGGGCAAACTATAGTTGTGCGCCTGTGATCGGCTTATCTCACTCAGCTGAATGTCTTTGAGCTCCGTCCAAACTGTAGCACGGAGCAAGACACTGTTTCGCCTGTTGGCTGAGTTGTGTCCACTGCGGGTATGGCCATTTTGTTCATCCGGTCCCCCGTTTAATAGGCATTCAGGTGGTCTCTGCCATCTGGCTCCTGGCAAGACTGCTGCACCCACCACTGGTGTCCAAGCCTCTTTGGGGGGACTTTCTGCTTTCAAGCCCTTTGGGCTGGACTGAGGAGTGGAATTACTGAGTCATGGAGAGCCCTGGTGGTGCAGTGGTGACGAGGTGGGCTGAGACTTGACCCACAAGGCAAACTGGTTGGCAGTTGGAAACCAGCAGCAGCTCCTCAGGAGAAAGACTGGGCTGTTTACTCCCACAGTCTAGGAAACCCACAGGGGGTCGCTCTGACTCGACAGCAGTAAAGCTTATGGTTCTTCTAATGAGGTCCTAGTGATCGAATGAGACTGAATTCTAAGGTTTCAATATTGTTTGGAAAAGAGGAAGGCCCGACATGAGCTGGATTGACACGCAGCGACTGCATCAACAGTTCGGGCATGGGTACAATTGGGAGGCCGGCACAGGGTCACTATGGGCCGGAACCAACTCCATGACACTTAGTACGGTTTGTTCTCATTTCCAGTTTCTGAGGCACTGCCATGCTTTCTCCACAGCTGGACCATTCTGTAGTCTCACCACCTGACAGACGTGGGTTCCTTCCCCCCCACTCCACCCCCATTCTCCCACTTTCTTTGCCCATTGGAGTGGGAGCGAAATGGCATCTCATTGTGGTGACCTGGGGGCGCAGTGGTTAAAGCGCTCTGCTCCTAACTGAAAGGTTGGCGGTTTGCGCCCATCAGCCACTCTGACAGCGGAAGATGAGGCAGCCTGCCAGCTTGATGCTGCCCTACAAGGTTAAGCGGGGTTGGAGTCCACTAGCTGGCAGGGGCTTGATGGCTCATGATGCTGAGACCCTTCCAAGTGTTTGGTGGCCACTCGAATGTCAAAGTCTTCTGCCCATTTCTACGACTGTTATCTTTGCACGCTTGCCACAGTCTTACGGTTATTTGGACCACTGCAATCATGTCACCCTGCAGATGTTCTTCCGGTTGGTAGCTTGTCTTTTCATGTTGTTTTGTAAAATCTCTGGAAGAACAAATGTTCAGTTTTATGAGATCCTATTTTTTAATGAGATTTCTTGCTGTGCGTGCTTCTGTTTTAGCAGATGACAGCTAGGCCAGGCAGCACTGCCCCTACCTGCTCTTCTAAGGCAGGGGTGGGGAACCTTTTTTCTGACAAAGGGCCATTTGGATTTCTAGAACATCATTCGGGGTCCATACTGGTCAAAATATTTCGCTAAGTCACGTCTGTGATGGTTGGAACTGCTTCTCTTTGGTGAAGCGTGTGATGTTGACCTTGTATGGCCAGAGTCAGATGTTCCCCACCCGTTTTAAGCACTTTTGTGGGTTTGGTTTGCACCTCTAGGCGGATTCATGCTGAATTTGCTACGTGCGTATGCTGTGAGGTACGGACTGCATTTTCCCAGCACCATTTATTGAAGAGATTGCTCTTTCCCATCCAGGGGTGTTCGCAGCAACCACAGACGCGGGGTACCAGCCCTGGGAGGTTTCCTTCCTCGGTTGCCTTCACAGCTTCCCTCCTCCTCGGTTCATTGTCCCAGCATGCCTCTGGTTCTCCTCCTTCAAGCAAATAAGCAAAGGATCACATCAGCTTCTCATCTAAACGCCAGGCTAAAAGGCAAATTTACTAGAGGTTCAGTGCCTGTGACAGGTAGTCAGTCGCCTGTGGTCCCACTAACGCACAGCCATGGACTTCATGGTTTGAAACAACCCAAACTGACGTGGGTCTCCCTGGGGACAGTCCCTCCTGGAGGCTTGAGGGGACTGGTTGCCTTTGCCTGCCTTCTTGGCCCGTTGCCCCTGCCTCACCTTCCGTGAGCAGGACAGCAGTTTCCCGTCTTGCTCTGTCTTTGGCCCTCCTGCCTCCATCTGTAAGGGCCCTGTGGTGACCCAGGCCATCCAGCAGCCCGAGGCTCCTCGCCCCCTCGAGGTCCTCCGTGTCATCGCCTCTGTAAAGGCCCTCTGCCGAGGAACAGGCCAGTTTCATAAGGTGCTGGGAAAGAGAGGTAGGCAGCTTGTCCTTGAGAGGGCCAGGGACTGTCCTGCCCACCTCAACAGGGGTTGGCCAACCTTTTCTTGAAAGGGGCCCCGTGGTCAATGTTTTGACTTTGTGGACCCTCTGGGCTCTTTGGCCGGAGCCTGTTGCAGAGTTAAAACTCAGGGCCCCTCCTCCATGAAGCCCTGGGGATTGGACCACAGTGACAGAGGACTGGCCTGACCCCAGGGGGCTACCCCACTCGGCTTCCCCATCAACCCCAGGCGGGACTCCCAGGCCAGAGAGCTCACCCAGGGACACCGGCATTTCACATCATAATTCCCACACCACCAAAGTCTTTCCTGAATGAACTCTCTTTTATTAACTTGACGTGAAACAAATGGAATGTAAACCTTCCCTGGTGCAACTCCCAAGTGCTTACACTCCGGTGACGTGGACCTTTCTGGCGCCATGCCCCCATTCTCGTGGTCCTTTCCCAAATCATTCCACCACTGTGAATGTGAACTTAGGCCCCTAAACCACCCTCTGGCTCCCTCCCAACTGTTACACATATTTTCTTACGTCATGTAAGTGAGATCACACGTTCCCGCCTCGCCCTAAACCTCCCTGGCCCCGTTAGGCAAATCCCTGCCTTTGCTGCCCTTGGTCCTCAAGACCCCCTTCTCCACCTGGCAGACACAGGGCTCGGATGCTGCTTGTCCTTGTCACACTAGTTTGTGTGCCTCTGTCTCTCCGTCAGGTGGTGACGTTCTCAAGGCTGTCCTGACCCCACAAACCTGTGGATGGAAAGAACCAGAGCAACCAACCCCCCACCCCGCCACCAGTGCTACTCAGGTGGCTGGCATGCTGCTAGGGCTCGGGAAGCTTTGTCACTGGAGTTCCAAGTACCAGCAGGATCACCTGTGGTGGACAGGATCCAGGGGTTCCTCTAGGCTAAGACTAGGATGAAAGGCCGGGTGGGCTGTGAAAATTAGCCAGTGGAAACCTATGAATCATGCCATGTTTGGTGCAGCAGACCAGTGAGGGAGAGCAGATCCTGCCACCCTGATGGGCCTGAAGTTGCCAGCAACCGTGGTCACTGCTTCTGTCTGTTGCTCACAGGGGTACCCTGGGGCTACAGAGGTTCACATGAGCTGGCGTTTCTTCCCCCAGCCTCTAACCCCGCTTCTTACCCAAAGCAAAACACACACAAACTAAAGGCCAAGACCTTCCTACGGGATCCAGACTGGGAGAAAAATAACTCTAGGAGGAAGCTGACCCAGGTTCAAATCCCAGCTCTGGCACTTACTAAACACATGCACCTGGACAAGTTACGGCACTTCCCTTTCTCGAAGGACTACTAGGTGTCCACTTGCCGTGGATGAAAGGCCCCGATATAACCAGCCCTTGCTCACTCATGAGTCTTCTCTCCTCCACTGACCTCTCCTCAGCTCGTTGTCCCAGGCTCCAACCTACCTGAGAGGCCCTCCTTCTCCTGTGAGACCCTTCAAGTCTCCGCTGTAACTGCTGACCCGGCCACTCCAGGATGGGGTCTGGTCCTCCTGTGCCATGCCTAGCTGGCCAGTACTGACCTCTGTGGATATTAGGAGTCAGGAGAGTTAGGATTTCACAGCAGGGTCAGTCCGAGGGCACAGCTGCCAAATCACAGAAACGGAACAAAAAACGTCCACGTGGGAAGCTATTGTTTCCAGCTGTGTGCTTCCGAAGGCCCTGTTGCCAGCTGCTCTCGGTAACCCAGTGTTTCCCAAAGTGTGTGACAGCGCCCCCTGGAGGGCGCTGGGATGATCCAAAACTCAAAACCAAACTCAATGCCACTGAGTCGATTCTGACTCACCTTATAGGCCCAGAACTGCCCCTGTAGGTTTCTGAGACTGGACTCTTTGTGGGAATAGAAAGTCTCATCTTTCTCCCATGGAGTGGTTGGTGGTTTCGAACTGCTGACCTAGCGGTTTGTAACCCCCAAACTCAAGTAGCAGTACTATTTGACTCACTCTTAGAGTACACATTCTAGAACACTGTTTCCCAAAGTGGCCACTATGGAGGGCACTAGAGCGATCCTGGGAGGCTGCAAAATCAGATCCTTGCACTTTATCCTGCATTAGGACAAACATTTCTCATTGCCAGGGGGGAACTAAGCAAAGGTATTTTTTCTTTCTGGGTCACGGGCCGAGTAAGTTTGGGAACTTGTGTTCTGGAGATTCCAAGAGAGTTCATCTCTGACTCAGAGCAACCTTATCATCTTACATACTTTAGACGTATTGTGAGAACATACCAGTCCGTGGAGAAGGACATCGTGCTTGGTGAAGTGAAGGGGCAGTGGAAAAGAGAAGGCCCTCAATGAGATGGATGGACACTGTGGTTGCAACACTGGGCTCAGGCACAGGGACAATCGTGAGGATGGCGTAGGATCAGGCAGGGTTTCCTTCTGTGGTGCAGAAGGTTGCTATGGGTAATAATTGACTCAATGGCATCTAACAACAACAAGGCAGGGTAGGATCCCCTTGTGGGTTTTAAGACCGTAACTCTTTTTGGCAGTAGATTCATGTTTTTCCCATGGAGCAGCTGGTGGTTTCGAACTGCTGACCTTGTAGTTAGCAGCCCAACTCATAACTTCTATGCCACCAGGGTTCCTTCTAAACTGTTTCATGAACACCTAATTTCACAGGTTGATTTCCGGAAGGGGATCACCAAGCCTTTCTTCCTAGCATGTGGTGTGCTGGTCAGAATCAAGCTGGGCCTTGTGAACAGAAGGTGGGAATGCTCCCGCTAAAGCACCAGTGGCCCATCCTTGTTTATCCTGTTTGGGAAAACATCCACTTCTCCTGTTAGCAGTGACATATTACGTGAACGGGCCTCCTCAAAGAGCCCAAGGGCATCCACACGTGAAAGCTGTCGCAGTCAAGTGGGCGTAGGCAACAGGAAACCGAATGTTACATGGCCTTCTGGATGGCAGCCTGGAACAGAGAAAGGATATTCAATGAAAACCCACGCAACTGAACATACACCGTATTGGTCTGGTCTCATTCACTGCCACCACTACTCATGTAAGGCAGGGCTTATTCCTCAAGGGAAGTATGGGGGCTCTGTGCAGTCTCCTCCAGCTTCTATAAATTGGTAACCGGATTAACGAATGAGTGAGTGATGGCCCTCCCTTATCCTCATGGGGACCACCACATTACATGGAAGAATGAACACTAAGCATTTAATGAGCCGCAACCGGTCCCTTCCAAGGGCCTGCTGCATTGGTATTCAACTGGGGCGGTCCACCTGGGGAAGCTCAAGTCCTACAGGGCTATGTACCTGAGGATGCTCACATTTAAAGGAACCTAAGTTGGCGACTGGTACTGTTGTCGTCGTGAGCTGCCCGTTCAGGTGATTTGGATCCAATGTGACCCCTGTGAGTCTCACTGCCTGGTCCTGTGCCATTGCTCCATGCTCACAATTATTCCAGTGTCTGAGCTCAGCAATGCAGCCGCTTTGTCAATCCATCGTATCGAAGGTCTTCCTCTCTTTTGCTGCCATGCTACTTTACCAAGCATGATGTCCTCCTCCAGGGACTGGTCTCTCCTGACTACATGTCCAAAATATAGGAGACAAAGTCTTGGCACCCTTGCTTCTAACGAGCATTCTGGCTGTACTTCTCCCAAGACAGACTTATTTGTTCTTTTGGCAGTCCATGGTACCTTCAATATTGTGTCTGCATCATAATTTAAATACATAAATTCCTCTTCAGTTTTCCTGATTAAGTATCCAACTTTCATAAGCATAGGAGGTGACTGAAAATATCATGACTTGGGTCAGGTGCACCTTAGTTCTCAAAGTACCTTCCTTGCTCTTCGACTTTAAAGAGGTCTGGTGTGGAAGATTTGCCGAACGCAATGTGTCCGTTGATCCCGACTGCTGCTCCATGAGCATTGATAGTGGATCCAAGCAAGTCGAAATCCTTGACAACTTCAATCTTTTCCAAGCTCTGGGCTCTCAGTGGGCACGCTGCTGCACAGGCGTTGTTTTTAGACCATCCAGACTTTCCCTCACCCACAAGGCACCAGGTGCAGGTTGCTCTGGGGCTACCGCAGCTCCTCAGTAAGCACTGGACACATACCAAGGGCCCCCAAATCAAATGGTGGTAGTGGTTAGTGAACTGGACGCTGAGCGCTCTCAGAGACAGTGTTGCACAGTGAATCATCTCGTATTGTTGGTTCCAAGTTCTCCAACTCCTTCAGCAAATGCCAGTATCTCCGCCACGAGGCCCTCTCAACTGCCCTCCTTTAAATTGCAGCGTTGCCATTCCCCATCTCGCTCCCTCGTTCCTACTTTTCATCTGACCACTCTCTTAACCCTTGCTTTATTTTCTGCTGCTTCCTCACGCGCCATGTGGTCCCCAAAGGAAGTCGCTGGCGCTGGGCAGTGGTTGAGCCCTTGAAAAGTAGCCAATCCACCTTGAGATGTGCTGTGAGTAGAAAAGACACACCGGAGTCTGAAGATCAAACCCCATCCAAACCCTAAACCCATTGCCCTCAAGTCAATCCCGCCTTGTGGTAACTCTACACAGGGTTTTTGAGGCTATAAACCTTTACTGGAGGCGCCAGCCTCGTTTTTCTCCCACGGATCGCCCGGGGGGTTTGAACCTCTGCTCTTGAGCTTAGCTAGCCAACACAGAGCCCAGAAAAAATAAGTAAAAGCCTTCATCATGTCTTATATTGACTCCATTTCAAGTAAATACTTTGGACGCAACAGAGTGACTAAAATGCGTTCTTAAAAGATGTGTTATGAAAATTAAAAAATAAATAAAAGATGCGTGATGTCTGCTTGCTCCTTTTGAACATGGCTATCAGAATATTGAAATCTCACAAATGGCTGCACTCATGGCCCTCTTGTAATTTCTACTAAGCGCTCATGCAGACGGTCAGCCCGATGAGTGTTTCACAGTTACTGGCATCCAGTAGGCGCTCAATAAAATGTTAATGGGAATGTCAGAGGCCCAAGGAGTCCGTTAGCTCAGGGCACATAGCTGGAAGCCTAACCACATCCCAGGCCCTGCTCCTCACACCACCACCTCACAACACTGGAAACTGAGGCCAGGCTAGGTGACGTCAGCCCTTGCCCAACGGCACGCAGCGCGGAAACACCCGGTTTAGGATTCGAACCCGGGTCCTAGCTCCTTACCTCTGGCCGAGTGACCGTTCCTACCTTGCAGGGCGGCAGGCCAAACAGCGGGTACACGGCGGGTTCCCCATAAGGGCCGTCGCGTCTCGGCCCTACCACCCGCAGTCGACCCCAGCCTCCATGGGACGGGACCTCAGTTCGCCCCTCCGCGGCCATCGCTGCTGCCCGCGTCTCCGCCGGCCGCCGAGCCCTCCGCGAACGGCGCCGACCGGAAGTTCCACCTTCTCGCGCGCCAGGGGCG